GATTTCAGAACAGAGGACCTTGGCACAGGATGTGAGCTCACATCATCAATGTCAGAGTGGTCCCAGGATGAGGAATATGGGGCCTTGTACCCAAAATGACAAGCCACTGACAAAATAATGTATTGTGTCATATATATATATGACATATATATACAGTCATGGCCGAAATTGTTGGCACCCTTGATATTTCTCCAGGAAATCATGTATTTCTCACGAAACGTATTGCATTAACACATGTTTTGCTATACACATGTTTATTCCCTTTGTGTGTATTGGGACAAAACAAAAAAAGGGAGGAAAGAAAGCAAATTCGACATAATGTCACACAAACCTCCAAAAATGGGCTGGACAAAAGTATTGGCACCCTTTCACAACTGCGGATAAATAAGAATGTTACAAGCATGTGATGCTCCTGTAAACTCACCTGGGGCAAGTAACAGGTGTGGGCAATATAGAAATCACACCTGAAAGCAGATAAAAAGGAGAGACGTTCACTTAACCTTTGCATTGTGTGTCTGTCTGTGCCACACTAAGCATGGACAACAGAAAGAGGAGACGAGAACTGTCTGAGGACCTGAGAACCAAAATTGTGGCAAAATATCAACAATCTCAAGGTTACAAGTCCATCTCCAGAGAACTAGATTTGCCTTTGTCCACAGTGCGCAACATTATCAAGAAGTTTGCAACCCATGGCACTGTAGCTAATCTCCCTGGTCGTGGACGGATGAGGAAAATTGATGAAAGATTGCAACCCAGAATAGTCCGGATGGTGGATAAGCAGCCCCAAACATGTTCCAAAGACATTCAAGCTGTCCTGCAGGCTCAGGGAGCATCAGTGTCAGCGCGAACTATCCGTCGACATTTAAATGAAATGAAACGCTATGGCAGGAGACCCAGGAGGACCCCACTGCTGACACAGAGACATAAAAAAGCAAGACTACAGTTTGCCAAAATGTACTTGAGTAAGCCAAAAGCCTTCTGGGAAAACGTCTTGTGGACAGATGAGACCAAGATAGAGCTTTTCGGTAAAGCACATCATTCTACTGTTTACCGAAAACGGAATGAGGCCTACAAAGAACAAAACACAGTACCTACGGTAAAATATGGTGGAGGTTCAATGATGTTTTGGGGTTGTTTTGCTGCCTCTGGCACTGGGTGCCTTGACTGTGTGCAAGGCATCATGAAATCTGAGGATTACCAAAGGATTTTGGGTCGCACTGTAGGGCCCAGTGTCAGAAAGCTGGGTTTGCGTCCAAGATCCTGGGTCTTCCAGCAGGACAATGACCCCAAACATACGTCAAAAAGCACTCAGAAATGGATGGCAAAGAAGCGCTGGAGAGTTCTGAAGTGGCCAGCAATGAGCCCAGATCTAAATCCCATTGAACACCTGTGGAGAGATCTTAAAATTGCTGTTGGGAAAAGGTGTCCTTCCAATAAGAGAGACCTGGAGCTGTTTGCAAAGGAAGAGTGGTCCAAAATTCCGGGTGAGAGGTGTCAGAAGCTTATTGATGGTTATAGGAAGCGACTGATTTCAGTTATGTTTTCCAAAGGGTGTGCAACCAAATATTAAGTTAAGGGTGCCAATACTTTTGTCCAGCCCATTTTTGGGGTTTTGTGTGACATTATGTCATATTTGCTTTTCTGCCTCTGTTTTATATTTGTTCCAATACATACAAAGGGAATAAACATGTGTATAGCAAAACATGTGTTAATGCAAATACCTTTTTTGTGTGAAATACTTGATTTTCAGAAAAATATCAAGGGTGCCAACAATTTCGGCCATGACTGTATGTATATATATATATATACAGTGAAGGAAACCGCTCACAAAGAAATGATCGGTCTAAAAATCGAATGGTAAGTGTATTGTAACACTAAAAGACAGAATAGCAATAAAAAATTCTAAAGAAATGCATGTCTAACAAAAGATACACTGATTTGCATGTTCATGAGGAAAATAAGTATTTGATCCCCTATCAATCAGCAGGATTTCTGGCTACCAGGTGTCTTTCATACAGGTAACAAGCTGAGATTTAAAGCAGTCTCTTAAAGGGAGTGTTGCTAATCTCATTTTGTTACCTGTATAAAAGACACCTGTCCACAGGAGCGATCAAACAATCAGATTCCAAATGCTCCACCATGGCAAAGACCAAAGAGCTGTCCAAGGGACAAGATTGTAGACCTACACAAGGCTGGACTGGGCTACGAAACTATTGCCAAGCAGCTTAGTGAGAAGGTGACAACAGTTGGTGCAATCATTCGCAAATGGAAGAAACACAAAACAACTGTCAGTCTCCCTAGGTCTGGTGCACCATGCAAGACTCACCTCTTGGAGTGTCAATGATCATGAGAACAGTGAGGAATCATCCCAGAACTACACGTGAGGATCTTGTGAATGATCTCCAGGCAGCTGGGACCACAGTCACCAATAAAACATTGGTAACACACTACACCAACAAGGATTGAAATCCTGCAGTGCCCCCAAGGTCCCTCTGCTCAAGAAAGCACATGTCCAGGCCCGTCTGAAGTTTGCCACTGAACATGATGCAGAGGTGGACTGGTTGAAAGTGTTGTGGTCAGATGAGACCAAAATCAAGCTCTTTGGCATCAACTCAACTTGCTGTGTTTGGAGGAGGAGGAATGTTGCCTATGACCCCAAGAACACCATCACAACTATCAAACATGGTGGTGGAAACATTCTGCTTTGAGGGTGTTTTTCTGCTAAGGGGACAGGACAACTGCACCGCATCAAAGGGGCGATGGACGGGGCAATGTACCATCAAATCTTGGGTGAGAACCTTCTTCCCTCAGCCAGGGCATTGAAAATGGGACATGGATGGGTGTTCCAGCATGACGATGACCAAAAACACATGGCCAAGGCAACAAAAGAGTTGCTCAAGAAGAAGCACATTAAGGTCCTGGAGTGGCCTAGCCAGTCTTCAGACCTTAATCTGATTGAAAATCTGTGGAGGGAACTGAAAGTTCAAGTTGCCAAATGTCAACCACCAAACCTTAATGACTTGGAGAGGATCTGCCAAGAGGAGTGGGCCAAAATCCTTCCTGAGATGTGTGCAAACCTGTTGGCAACTACAGGAAAACTCTGACGTCTGTGATTGCCAACAAGGGATTTGCCACCAAGTACTAAGTCATGTTTTGTGAAGGGGATCGAATACTTATTTCCCTCATGAACATGCAAATCAGTGCATCATTTTCTAGACATGCATTTCCTTTGAATTTTTTGTTGCTATTCTGTCTCTCAGTGTTACAATATACCTACCATTAGATTTTTAGACTGATCATTTCTTTGTGAGTGGGCAAACATTCAAAATCAGCAGGGGATCAAATACTTATTTCCTTCACTGTATATAGTAGGTTCTTCAAAAAGTTTCTGCACTTTTTTAAATTCTATTAAAGATAAAAAAAAAGTCCAGAAACTTAGAACATATATATGGTAAAAGTTTTAGGCAGATGTGCAGAAATGCTATAAAGTAGGGACGCTTTAGAAATATATATACTGTATATATATATATATATTTTTTTTTTTTTTTTAATTAATTGTTTATTATTATTAATTTACAAAATGGAAAGTGAGTGAACAAGAAAAAATCTAAATCAAATTAATATTTGGTGTAACTACCCTTTGGATTCAAAACAGCACCAATTCTAGGTACAATTGCACACAGTTTTTGAAGGAACTCAGCAGTCAGGTTGTTCAAACATCTTGGAGAACTAATCACAGATCTTGTGTAGGCTGCCTCAAATCCTTCTGTCTCTTCATGTAATCCCAGACAAACTCCATGAAATTTAACATCAGGGCTCTGTGAGTGCCAAACTATCACTTCCAGGATCTACTAAAAAAGAAATAGGTTCAGATCCACATAAAATGAATGAGCTGCCTTAGGACTAGTTCATACCATAGAAACGCAGTCCAGATGTGCTTCTGCATGCATGTTTTTGTACGTTTTGGGTGTGTTCTGGTGCGTTTTTTATGCATTCTGGTGCATTTTTTTCCCCTCTTTTTTTTTCTTCACCTTAAGGACTAGTCACATCATCGAAACACAGTCTGGATGCGTGCTGGATGCATTTCTGCATGCACGTTTTTGATGCATTCTGGTGCATTTAGGTGAGTTCTGGTGCAGTTTGTTGTGCATTTTACAACGTTCCAGTACAGTTCAGTGCAGAAAAAAATGGAACTGAAACACACTGGAACTGAAAGCGCTGGTGTGAACTATGCCATTGGAAACCAAATAACCTACTATCTATGCATTTTTTATGCAGGAAAAAAATGCACTGGGCTACATATGGTGTGAACCAGTCCTTAAAGTGTATTTCCACTTTTGCAGCCAAAATAGGATATCACTACTTCATATTTGTTACATATCCCCATTCACATAAATAAGTTGAAAAAAATATTTTAAAATTGCAACTTACCTTTTTTAGATGCTCCATTCCTGACCTTCCAGCAAGGAAATGAATAAGTAGTTTCCTTTTTTATGAAGGGTCTGGACAGCTGTATTTGCTATAGTTAACCTTGTCTATACTCTGCACGCAGATCTTCATTATCAATAACTAGTAACTAGATTTGAACACAGTGGGGATTATTTACTAAAGCTGGTTCACTCAGAATCTGGTGCACCTGTACATGGTAGCCAACCAGCTTCTAACTTCAGATTGTTCAATTAAGCTTTAGCAATACAACCTGGAAGCTGATTGGTTTCTCTGCAGAGTGAACCAGCTTCAGTAAATAAATCCCTGTCTGACCAAACAAAGGGTTAAAGTTGTAGAGGCTGGCTTCTTGCATTGTATGTTAATGAACACAGATTTGGACAGGCTCACTCTAACATTGTTCAAAAAACCTTGCAGTCAGCCATGACACCTCCTCTTGAGAAACATCTAAAGGCCAGAAATGTTTATTAATTTTTTAGGCATGCTGTGTGAATGGAAACGCATAGCAAACATATAGTGGGGTTTTCTCAAAATTTTAAAGCAAAAGTGGAATTACGCTTTAACGCAGGGCTTGAAATTTCCACTCGCCTGCTCGCCAATGGCGAGTGGAAATTATGGTGGGGGTGAGTGTGTCCCCCCGGGCACGGGGCCCAGGGCAGGCTCGGAGCTCAGGCCGGATCTGTCATTGGCACTGGAAGCCGTCAGACTGCTCAATAGCTGAGCGCAGTGAAAGCAAAGCAAGGAGTGTGTGCTGTGCTCTCTGCCTCCCCCTAGAGTGCAGTACCCGGATCTGTGAGTGAACAACGAAGTACTGCAACTTTTTATGGGGGGGGGGGTACGTGTACATGTCTGTGTGCATCTGTGTATGCATGTATACATGTGTCTGTGTGTATGTGCATGTGTGTATCTGTACATGTGTCTGCATGTATGTACATGTATGTGTGTGTACATGTTCTGTGTGTGTGTGTACATGTGTCTGTGTATGTGTGCATGTACATGTGTGTGTTTGTGTGTATGTACGTACATGTGTCTGTGTGGTGTGTACATGTGTCTGTGTATGTATGTACATGTGTCTATGTGTATGTACATGTGTCTGTGCATGTGTATGTACATAAATCTGTGTGTATGCGTGTCTGTACGTTCCTGTGTGTATATACATGTGTCTGTATGTATGTGTGTGTACATGTGTCTCTGTGCATGTGTGTGAATGTTTGTGTGTGTGTATGTACATGTCTGTGTGTGTGTGTGTACAGGTGTCTCCGTTTGTGTGTGTTTGTTGGTGGCGAGTAACTCTAAGGCCTGGCTAGTAGCTCAGGACTTGAAATTTTAAGCCCTGCTTTAACGCAATCCATTAATGCACTGCAACAGACTGGTCAGGTCTCAAAAGGCTCTCCAAGTAAAGTAGTTTTTTCTTCTCTATCATCAAAATTTTCTGTTAGATGTTTCATCCTTGGCATTCAATGACAATCAGCATCACTGGGTGAAAAGGGGGCCTAGCCTGGATCAGAGCTAAGCAAACACATCACAAGTATAGGTAGAAGTGATATTTACTAAAAGTCCGAAGCTGGGCAGCTCCACGAAGAATAGGCAACTGACGGTAGTGAAAAGTGTTCCACCTGACCTATGCTATGAAGCCATATAACATAATAGGGGTGGTTGGAGCACAATTCTATAGTCATTTTCCTTTAGAAGACTTTACCAAATGTGTACGTGTTTCTATAGATTTGGCTAGTGTTGAGCTGATCATTTCAAAGTTTCCACCTGTAACATATGTGCTGTAGTTTAACGGGCAGCACAGTGGCTAAATGGTTAGCACTTCTGCCTGGCAGTACTATGGTCATTGGTTCAAATCCCAACCATAGCACCACCTGCCTGGAGCTTGCATGTGCTCCCTGTGCCTGTGTAGGCTTCCTCCAGGTGCTCTGGTTTCCTCTGACACTCCAAAGACATGCTGGTAGGTTAATTGGCTCCTGTCTAAACTGGCCCTTGTAGGAATGTAAGTTAGGGACCTTAGATTGTACACCCCTTGAGGGTTAGGGGCTGATATGAATGTACAACATAAATGTAAAGCGCTGCATAAATTGACAGTGCTATATAAGTACCTAAAATAAATATAAGTTTCTCATTCATATTAAACAACTGGTCCTTTTCCATGTTTATAACCCTTTATTTGATCCATTTTCCCCTCTGAAATTATTGCTTACTTTCAGGATCAATCCTAAGTAACCCAAAAGGAAGAATTATATTTACTTCCCAAAAATTACATCTTACTAAAAATTACCATTATCCTATTGATTGCTCCAAACCCCTCCTCCCTCTCCCCATCACAGCATTCGTATTGGTCAATAGCGCTCAATGTTTTCACTGATGGTTATGTAGAACCAAATACAATTTATTGATAATATCTGGAATTTCTCTGGTTTTCCACATAATTAGATACAAAACAGGATTAAATAACACAAGATATATTTGTATATTGACAATGGTTACCCATGCATTGCGGTTTATTGAAATATTACACAATTTCATACTGTACTCTGGCTATGTTTTAGCAATAATAGAAAGTTTAAAAAGTGCTTATATAATGTTCATTGTTGCATATGCTGAATTATAAACACACACCATTCACAGAAACCAAAGTAGGGCAGGCCTGGTACGCATCATCAGGGGTTGGGCTGCCTGAAACCAGGAAGAGGCACCCAGCACTCAAGGACGCCAGGAATCAAGATGGTGGCGCGGAACCAAGATGGTGGCGCAGAACCAGGTCTCTGACAGTGGCGTAGTAGATCACAGGGCAACAATGGATTTGCTGGGGAGTGAGTATCTGAATTGAGGACAACACTACATGACACAAAAGGGGTGGGGGAAATGTGAGGGGGGATAAAGCTCCGATACGTTTCCCACTATGCTTATTCCTCTGCTATTGAGCACATCTATGTATTGAATGAGCTGGAGCAGGTATTAAATTATCTATATATCATTGTACATATTGAACATTTTGTGTGCACAGGAATGGCTGCAACACAGTATAGCTCACAGCATCCTCAGAAATGTTACATGCAGGGAAATCAAACACATATGTAAGTCGTTTATCTATTAAAAATACTGCAATTCAGTGTTTTTAAAAATGTAATTATTTTCCCTTGTTATGCAAGACTGATAATAAAAATTTTAATATAGTACACATTCGGTATGTCCATCAAAAATGAGTTAACATTTTCCAGCCTGTCCAATGACTTTTCTTTTCCCTGTTAAAAGAAGTCAATGGACATTCTTCAAAAGATACATACACATCCACAGACACATCAAAAGAAAATACTATCCAACATAACTGAAATTTTGCATCACATTTTAAAAAATAAAAGTATGTAATCGATTTAAAAATTGAAAACCTAGATGTAAACTGTCCATTATAATGTTAACTATTAATATTTTTTGGAGGTGTTAAAAATCCTCAGCTGGTGCAATTATTGAACCTCTGGGACTTTTCTGGATGATACAATAATATTCCGTGCAACAGGAATATCTATCCAATGTTCTCACACCATTCAGGTAGGAAATAGCTTGGTCGTTGCTTCGTAATTACTGTTGCCTAGTAGAAACTAAGGGAACATTTCTTGCATAGCTGAGAACATAAATCACAGAAGTCACCTAAATCAAGAAGAACAAAGGGTGGTTGCTAATGAAGTGTAATTGGTTATTTTAGAATTGCAACTTGCATCTTTTCTCAAGGAACGCAGACCCTTGTTTAAAACAAGTCAATTGAAAGAAAGACCAATTTCCATCTAGTGAAGAAATTTTCTTCTGCTCCAACTGCGCCCACATGTTTCCTTTCACTAATTGGTCTGGCACAAGTTGACCCTTCCAGTCGGTGAGTTTTGGGGATCTGTGATTAATCATAAACCTCTTAATTATTTTCAAGAATGATGAAGAGGCTTGTATGATATAATGGTTCTATTAAAAACTCTTGTTATAATAACAGCTTCTTTTGAGGGTTGGTAAAGTATTGTGGCAATGTAGTGTTGCATAGATACATGAGAATTAAAGATAAAAACGTAAAAGTGATAAAAAGGGACTGCTACTCAAAACTGGGACCTGCTTGACACAGAAACCACTAATCAGAGAGAATACCAATTGTCAAAGAAACTCTCACTGAGTACAGGGACCTATAACCACCACAAGTACTAGTTCTATACATAGAATCCACCACTAGGCACAGTGTTCCTATATCTGTATCTATAGCCGCTGTACCTGGTGGTGAATTTTGTGCACACAGTAGGACCTACCAGTGGATACAAGAACCATTACAAGACAAGGTATCACAACTAAAGACAGGGATTAATGGACACAGGAACTGGCCACCACTAGACATAGCACAGAAAGACCATCAGAAGACAGAGAGACCATTACTAGATACAGCACAAAGAGAACACCAGAAAACAAAGACTCACACTAGACACAGGGGCTTACCAACCCCGGACACAAAGCCTGACCTCTAATAAATACATAGACTAACTCTAATCACAGGGACTGACCAGAATGTGACTCAGGAAGTGGCCGACATTAAACAAAGCAGGAATCGGTAAACCATCAGAAGAGAAAATGACCAGCACTATGCATGGAGACTGACCACTTCTGGACACGGGAACTGAAAACATTTAGACATATGGATCAACTGTGATCACAGGAACTGACCACTACAAGATACAGGGATCACTACTGAACACATTAATTGATCGCTAATGGATATAGGGACTGTATTACCTTGCTTTAAAAAAGAAACTACATTCTATGCATTAAGGTAAAAAACCTTCTGCATGCAGCTTCCTTTCCCCTAGTCCCCCACCCCCCATACTTACCTGAGCCTGATCTTGATCCAGGTCCAGTGATGTGCATGAGTGCAGAGGCCCTCTCTACTCTCTCCCTCCTCATTGGCTCAGAGACAGCAGTGGAAGTCATTGGCTCCTGCTGCTGTCAACCACAGCCAGTGATGAGGGAATGAGGGGCGGTGCCAAGTTCTTCTGTCTGTGTCTATTGAGGCTCGGGGGAAAGCCTGCACAAGTGCCACCATAGCAAGCTGCAGGGGAAGTAGCTGGGAGGTCTGACAGGGAACTTGAGAAGAGGAGAATTGTGGCTGCTCTGTGCAAAACCATTGCACAGAGCAGGTAAGTATGACATGTTTGTTATTTTAAAGAATTTTTTTTATGTAGCACTACCCTCGTGAGGGCCACTGTGTTTCCAGGTCCCCCTAGGCTCCACACAGCCAGATAACATGCATTTTCCACACTTGCATCCACAGTCAGCGAACAGTCCGTGAGCTTGGTTTTCATTGTTTTATTGGGGGAAAAAACTTGGAATGGGTAATAGGCTTTATGGGATACCCAATCTTACCAAATGAATGCATGGGGACAACTTCCTTCCTATTTAAAGAAACAGGTCCTGGACTGTTCTTTTCCTTGAAAGTGGTCAATCTTTGCAGATCAGTAGTAACAGCCCCTTTCAAGCTAAGGACTTGCAGCCCCTCTGAAAATTAGCTTAGCTTCTTGCAAACTACATACAGAGATGTCTTCTCTCTCTTGTAGAACTGCTCCCAGCTCCACAGCCTGCAGACACTACCAGCCCTCCTGGCTGCTTTGAAGCTCTCCCAGGACAAGGACAAAGGATTAAGCACAGCGCTGTCTTTTGAAAGCTTGCTACTTGTGGCAGTCTCTCACATTGTAAATCCCTGGTTGTGCTGATGTACTCACTCCTCCTTGCTCCCACTGCTCCCAGGCCTTGATCCGCTTCATGCGGTACTGCTGAATGGACCCTCCTGAAGCAGCCCAAGCCCAGCCTGGTGGCCCCCTAGACCTAGAGGACCCTTCCCAGGCCAACAGTCTCCTCAGCACTCCATCTTCCACCCAGCTTGACTATGCCATAGTTACAGGTTGGTCTCAGGTTTGGAAGCCCTTCTACTAGGGCTTCCAAACCTAAATAAAAACCTAGATATGCAGATTAAGTCTCCACCCTTTCCGCCGACTGGCTTCTGGAAGATTCCATGTTCCTCCAGAACCAGGTGAAGGCGATAGAGTTCCAACCTGTTAAGCCATCCAGCCAGATCTGCAGTA